GTAGGGTAATTTTAATTGCTCTGCATTAACATGATTGGAAATTGATTTGATCGGATTTGGGATATTTTGTAGGGTTATATATTGTCGGTTGAAAATAACTAAAGATGGAAATGATAACCAAAAAATAAATATACTGTATATATTAAATAGTAATTTAGTTAAGGGTTTGAATATTTTTTTTAAGCTCAAACATCTTATTTAATAGTACAACAAGAGTTACACTAGGATGATGAGGCGAGTTCAGAGAGTGACAGGGGTAGAAAACACGACCTTGGAACGATCCAAGAAAGGATCAACGGTCATGGCAGCATTAGACATTTAGACCACTCGATGTCTGTCTCTTCCAGTTTAGGACGCTAATTAACAGCCGCGTTAGCTCGAGGGAATCCCATGGAAGGGATGTAGTGCCACTAGAGAGCGATAACTCTTGGAGACAACAGAAAAGGCCGCCTGGTCCAATCTTGACACTCGAGCCAGGCAGTTTAGAATAATGCCATCTGGCAACCGACAATAATGTAGACAAAAATGGAGGAGGCCATGAGACATCTTCCTCTTTTTAGCCGCTTAATTCCCAAATCAGAGGTTTGTATATTTATCTTTTGGTGGTTGCTGACTTTGAATACTTTATTTTACGAATTTTATCCAAACCCTTCTCTCTTAAATCCCGAAAAAAAGGAAATTGAGAAATCCTTTTCTTACACAGGAAGTTCACTATATATATATATATATGTAAAACCCTAACTGTCTTTCTCCAAAACCCTAATCACAGACCTAACCATGCAGTAACTACATATTATCTAAATATTAAACAAAGGAGAAAAAGATTGTAATCTATAGCCATGGTTTATACAAGCTCAACGATAATGAACAAGAAGAAGAAGTGTATGGAGGCAAAGACAAACAACCCAACTTGGTCTGACCACCTTCCCTTTGATCTCATGTTTGTGATAATGCAGCGTCTGTGTTTGAAAGACAACATTTGTGCTTCCGCAGTTTGCAAAACATGGCAAGATGCTTGTGTTTCCGTTCGAGTTAAAGATCCAACACCATGGATTATGCCCTCCTCTTCATCACGCGAAGAAGAATCCAAGCTTTACGATCCATCACTCAACAAAACACATATTTGTAAGTCCCCAGAGTTAGGCGGTTGGCACGTTATTCTCAAGACAGTTGGTTAATCATGTCCAATTTCACTTGGACCGAAAACATTTTTTCAATCCGTTTACTAATGAACACATTGGACTACCTTGGGCGCATGATATGTGCCGTTCTCATGCAATAGCTTTCTCATGTGCTCCTACATCGAATAGCTGTGTAATATTCTCTAGCTGCGTACTCTTGGGAGGGATCTGTCACTATCAAAAAATATTTTCTTGATACTAAAGTGTGCACTAGTTTGGTGTTCTCACATCAGTTGTTTTTACAAGATGGAGATTTCGAACATGTTGTTTTCTCCAATGGGGTCTTCTATTGTCTCACCAACACAGGTTGCTTAGGAATGTTCATTCTCTCTACGAATTCTTGGGATGTTCTTTCTCGGCGGCCTCCTAAATCTCTTAGAACCAGAAGAAGCTTTCTGACTGAGTGAGTACCAAGGAGACATCTTTCTTATATACATCAACACGTACGACTACCTCGAAAGAACCGAAATATCTTAAACTAGATCTCAGAAATCAAAAGTGGACTAATGTTAAAAGGTTCAGGTTGGGTGGATTAACGTTTTACTTAAACTCAAAATCTACATTGGCTACGTATAGGGACTCGGGCCACTCGGTGTATACCCAAAGAATCTACAACAGCTATGATGTCTGGATAAACCCACCCATAAACGTCTCAGATCTGTTCAAATAGTTGTTACCTCTTCTTCGTTTTTAGTTTTCTTAGATTTTTGGTATAATACAACTTGTCTTCGATTTTAGTATACCTCTCTCTATTAAGGTTCTTGATGATCTCAAGATTTAAGAAGCTATTTGTACGTAAGCTATTCTCGAATTGAAATGTAACAAGAAACTCATATATGATCCACTTCAGTTGTTGCTAATAATAAGCTCTTTTAGAAAAATATGGTTGGAATCGGGAACGAACAATGAGAAGAAACCACATTTAGTCAATAAAGAAACTTGAACCAATCACCCTTTGAGCAATGAATGTACGAGAAACAACAACTCATTAGCAGCGCAATATGAGATATGGCCGAGATCCATTTCAAATTCTTGGCCGAAGCACGTTCAGCCCAATACATCCTCAATGCATCGAGTCGTTTCCAAGGTCACACCACTTCCAGATACAAAGCTAACAACTACTTTCCTTATTTGGACAAATTTTCATTCCATTGGTCAACGATTCTTTACCTTTACGATTTTTTTTCTTGTTATAGACCTTAGAACCATTGTATTTTGAGCCTATATAAGCCCAGCTCGTTCTCATGTAAAATAACACATTTCATCTTTGATTTCATCACCAACCCAAGTAAAACTCCATCAAAACCATTTTTTTCCGCAATTTTAAACCTGAGTAAATCCCGTCGTAAATGTAGATTTTCTTCTCCTTATCATTTAGATGATCTTCGTTCGGTAAAAAAATCCGAACGTGATAAGAAGAAGAAAATTTATATCTACGATGAGTATTACGCATGAACGCATTGGACTGCCTTGGCCTGATATGGGGAGTAGTCTTGCACTAGCTTCCTCATGTGCTCCTACATCGAATAGTTGTGTAATATTCTCTGTCTCCGATTTCACAACTTTGAGCTGCTCGTAAGTTTAAGCCTTACTAAGAAAGAACAGATCCCACATGGAAACACCATGATCTTTATTATGGGTTTAGACTCTCATGAAAGCTCATGAGCAGGATCATGAATGTGTTTTATGATCAGTTTTTGTAACTGACAACTTTAGGCCAATTAAACAGAAATATGTTTTTCCCTTGATGTTTAGATTAGATCATCCCTTTGAAATTGAATTAAAAAGAAATATTAAGTGTTAAAATAATCTTTAAAAAAAAAAACTAAAGAGAAATTGAATGAAAAAGTCCTAAGAAACTTAAGGTTCTTTGGAATAGCCCCCATTTGGGAAGGGGACCCAAATAGCCTTCATTAAAGTTATTAAATTAGATTCGCGATAATTCCGGTGAAGAAAATTGCCCCAAAAAAGAAAGATTTCATTTCACCCGATCTGGATTCCGGTGAAGAGAATCACAGATTCTGGTGATCAGTGAAGGAATCGATTTCAGCGAAGGAATCGATTCCAGCGAAGGAATCGATTTCAGCGAAGGAATCGATTTCAGCTTACCGTCGATTGAGAGATCCCTTATCCGCATTTCATCGTCGATTCACATCGTCGATTCGCATCTATCATCAAATCCAATTAAGCTCAACGGCGAGTATATCAGGTACGTAGATTCACATCTAGCATTCACATCTACAGCAACGACTCACATCTTTCATCGATTCATTTATCATTATAGCTGTTCGACAACTGCCGTTTTTTTGGATTAAAGGATATCTTTTAGTTTAGCGTTGCAAAATGGTTAGAATTTGTGTTGGGAGAAAATGCTTAGAATGATTGTTCGGAAGAGAGCTCATTTTTATATTTAGGAAGACATTCCTAATTCGATAAATGAACTGAATCCTGCTTTTTTTTCTTTCTTTGATAGGCTCTATTTTGAAACAAAAATGGTTGAAGTTTTCTGTGTTTGCGGTGAGTGGAAGAAAAATGAGAAGGATGAATGGGATTTTGAAGTGGATGCAAATGAAGGATCAACAATTTTTGAGTTTGATGAGCATCATTCATTCAAGGATTTTGTTGAGATGGTTCATGATAATTTAGGAATCGATTCAAGAACTGTTATTATACTTAGCTATGAAGCTCCTATGAAGATGAGGTTGGTAATCCAGAATTGTCCACCTGTTTTTCTAAAAAACGATCGCCAACTGAGGAGTTTCATCAATATAATCAAAACATCATCTGAAGTTATTCCATTACATGTAACAGTGACTGAAGATTCTTATGCACATGGAATTCAACAGGTAAATCATCTGAATTGATTCAGAAATATGTTATTCGTATTCCTAAATAGTTCTTTAAAGCTTTCTTTTGTGTAGCTAACTCATGGAGCAGATGGAGACGACAATTCAACATCTGCGGCAAAGAGATTATCGGTTGCTGATACATTACCGCTTGTGCCAAATCTTCCCATTTCTCATAGTGACATTTCAAATTCAACCCAACTTACACAAATGTCTGCAACTACACCTACTGTTTCTCATCTGGATGTTTCATTCAATCAAAGAAATCAACAGGTAATGCTATCAATTTCTTTTTTGTTAGTGTTTGCACGGTCCAAGAGTAATCATGGTTTTATTTAGATATGGTTTCCTAAATGTGTTATACGTATTCCTAAATAGTTCTTAAAAGCTTTCTTTTGTGTAGCTAACTCATGGAGCAAATGGAGACGACAATTCATCATCTGCGGCAAACAGATTTTCTGGTGCTGATACATTACCGCTTGTGCCAAATCTCCCCATTTCTCATAGTGGCATTTCAAATTCAACACAACTTACACAAATGTCTGCAACTACACCTACTGTTTCATTCAATCAAGGAAATCAACAGGTAATGCTATCAATTTCTCTTTGTTAGTGTTTGCACGGTCCAAGAGTATTCCTGGTTTTATTTAGATATGGTTTCCTAAATGTGTTATACGTATTCCTAAATAGTTCTTAAAATCTTTCTTTTGTGTAGCTAACTCATGGAGTAAATGGAGACGACAATTCAACATGTTCTACAATTGATGCTCTGCGTTCTACTCCTGACCTTTCTCCTATAGGCATGGCACATCCATCAGTTGATCTTTGTGTCAACAAACACTTCAAGAACAAAGACGAGTTGATGCTGCAAATGAGGAAATGGACATTGGATTGGAAGTTTGAATTCAGATCAGCATAGTCAAACAAGTCGAGGGTGGTTGTAAAATGCGTTGACCCCAATTGCACATGGAGGATGCGTGCAACAAAGCTTCCTTCTTCTGATTTCTTTGTGGTGAGGACTTATGTAAGCGATCACAACTATGATTCAACACATAGGAACGCCAACCATAGGCAAGCAACTGCCAAGGTGCTTGGGACTCTGATGTGTAGCAATTATGGAGAGAAGAAGTGTGGTCTTAACCCGAAACAAATCATGGAGCAAGTCAGACTTGATCATGGTGTACACATTGGATACAAACTAGCATGGAGGGTTAAAGAGTCAGACTCGATCATGGTGTACACATTGGATACAAACAAGCATGGAGGGTTAAAGAGTTTGCTCATGATTTGATCAGAGGTACTCCCGAGGATAGCTATCAAAACCTCTCGAAGTGGATGTTTAAGGTTCATGAGAAAAACCCTGGATCCAAGGTTTATCTTGAGATGGATCCAAATGGAAATAAATTCAAATACAGCTTTGTTGCTTTTGGTCAATCGATAAGAGGATTTGAGCTGATGAGAAGAGTTATTGTTGTGGATGGTACTTTTCTTAAGGGGAAATTTAAGGGAACATTGCTTGGAGCTAGTGCACAGGATGGAGATTATTCTTTGTATCCGCTTGCGTTTGGGATAGTTGACTCTGAAAACGAACATGCGTGGACCTGGTTTTTCAGAGGACTTAAGACCGTGATCCCTGATGCGTCTGATTTGGTCTTTGTTTCAGATATATCTCAGTCCATTGCAAAGGCACTTTCAGTGGTTTATCCGCTTGCACATCATGGTATTTGTAGAATTCACATTTTGAGGAATATAACACCAAAGTATGGGAGAACTGGTTTGTTACCTCTTGTAGAAGCTGCAGCTGACGCTTACACTCGTCATGAGTTCATTAGCATCTTCAATGACATAAGAAACAGAAGCCCTAAATTAGCTTCATATTTGGAAGAATCCGATTTTGCAAAGTGGGCTCGCTGTTATGCACCTTCGAACAGGTAAGTACAATGTTTTTAAGCAGATATGACTGATTTTAGGAATGTTATCCTAAATTGTTGCTCTGTCTTTTTCTATAACTTGTGGTCTTGCTTGTATGCATCTTCTAACAGGTACAATATCATGACAACCAACATCGTGGAGTCTCTGAATTCGATGTTAAACTTGGCTCGTGAGAGACCATTAGGTTAACTCTCACAACATGGTTTCATGAACGTCGGGAAAAAGCTCTTAAACACAAAAAGCTTGTCACACCACGCGTAGCGAAGATCATGTTAGAGAGATACAATGCTGCAATGAAACTTGATGTTTTCCAAGTAGATCGGTATGAGTTTGAAGTAAAGGACGAGACTCGGAAGTACATTGTTCATCTGCAAAATAAGCAGTGCACTTGTCTCGTTTTTGACATCGACAGAATCCCCTGTGTCCACGCTATTGCTGCAGCTAAACGTACAAACAAGGACGCGAACAAGTATGTGGATCAGGCTTACTTGACGGAAACCTGGGCTAAAGCATATGCTGAGAGCATACACCCATGTGGAGATTTGACAAATTGCGATTTCCCAGATACTGAAGTAGTAAGTTCATGCGCACCACCAACTTGTAAGCAAACCAGTGGGGGACCTCCGACAAAGAGAAAGAGATCAGTGGGAGAATTTGGTGTACCCGGTTCAAAATCCCAAGGACACAAATGTAGCCGTTGCAATGTAGGAGGACACAACAGGAGTACATGCAGGTCACCTTTATGAAGGTTTTCAATTTTACAGGAAGATATTACAACTTTTTTAGCAAGACGATTGCTCTTTTATTGGTTTAGGAATATATCATACTTTTTAGGAACGAGTTCCTAAATATATATTTTCAAACACTTTGTAAAGGGTTTAGGCCTTTTGGTTCTGATTTGTTTGAACTTTCTAGTTGTGATGAGATTCTTATAACAAGATTATACTATATTATTTGATTTCAGTAAATTTGAGAATGTTTTACAAAACTTAAGGTTTGAGAGTTAAACAAGAAAGATTAAGAACCTGAGAGAAATTACAGATTCAAAATTTATTACTGATTAATTAGACTTTTACAATGTTTTGCAAAACATAAGGTTTGAGAGTTGAATAACAAAGCTTAAGGTTCAAACTTTATTTCTGATTTATTAGACTTTTACAATGTTTTTGCAAAACATAAGGCTTGAGACTTGAATAACAAAGCTTAAGAGGGCTTACTGATTCCTAAATTTTTGGTATAGTTTAGGAAGTTTTTCAAATATGTTAGGAATACCGTTTGGGCCTCTTTGGTAGTGGAAGTCTTATTTGTGAAACCTTTTATTTTTGGTTCCAGAAGTGTATCTTATCTGTTTGATAAGGTTTTAGGAATACATTTTGAAATGTTTCTTTTTGATTGGATAAATTTTAATGGCAAAAAGTGAAGGAAAATGGCCTTTCTCTATCTGATTGATTGATGTAGTCAGCTTTATCAGAAAATTAAGATTTTGCAAAGATATTGACGTTATTGATTTTACGAAGCTTTTCAAACAATTAATGAAATAATATCCTGATTTTAGGGGGGGGGGGGGTTTCCTAAGTGATGGACAGATTCATATAGAAACAAGAATAGGCTTCCTAAGTGTTGGACACATTCGTATACAAACAAAACAAACTCGTATCATTTACGAACAAGTTTTATTACAACATTTTCAATACTAGATTTTATACAAAATAGATCTATGTAATTAACTTGAGAAAACTACTCAAGAAAAACAAGACACTAAAATCTCTTTCCATAATATCTTCTTTGGTGCCGACTTCTTTGGTTAAAATGTTTCCAAAATACTAGATAAGACTTTGTAAATTCTGAATTTCTGTAATGATTTTCATTGATGATCGATTTTGATTACAACAAGACAATACTGGATTATATACAACTTTTTTCATAAAACCAACTTGACAAAACGACACAACACAAGCAAATGACTATCGAATCCCTTGATTACTCTTCTTCTTCTCACTTGATTACTTTTTTCTTCGTTGCAGACTTGAATGCTTCAATATCTTCACCCTTGAATCCTTTGATTAATTCCTTCCCAAGACTTCCTCTTCATTTACTTCGCCTCTTCCCTGTGCAAATCTGTTCTTTCCAACATAAGCCAATTCATAAAAGCATACAAATATTAACTAATTCAACAACCAAATATAAACCATTAATACAACCACATATAAACATATAAAAAACATTGTTCACATAGTAGCACATAGATAGAGTTTCATAAAAAAAAAACATAGTGTTCAGAGTTCAATAAAAGACGACTTTAAATAAACTTAAATAAACAAAAGCAGTTATTTTTTCAGGACCCCCAGTGTGCTCAACCGTCCATGCACGAGCAACCAAATCGAACGCCGCTTTGTCTTCCCAATAGAGTTTGGCAATCTGTTGTTCATAGTGGTCATCATCGCCAATCTCTGGTGCAGTCAACTTGGCGTGAATTTCCGTGAGCATCTAATTTCAAAGAATTTTAAAAAGCCAAAGTTAGTAACAGACCATTACGATTAATAAACCAATATTTCGAAAACGTAGGTGAAAACGATTACTCGGTTGATGGTGTAGATCAGCGAGAAGTTCTCGTTTTTCAACATCTGTAGAAATACGTTGCCATGTTCACACACGTTTGGGTGGAAGATTTTGGTGTTGAATGAGACCTGCAAAAACATCAGTGTTATTAAGAATCATTTCAGAGTTTTACAATATAAAACTATAGTTTTTTTAGAACCATTTCTACAATCCAAAAGCCTAATCATACCTTCAGCGGCTTAAAGGGGTAGTCAAGAGGGATGTGCATGGTCAGTTCGAAAACGCCGTTCTCGTAAAGGGAATCCTTCGGCCCTATTAGCATCGCTTTTCCAATGGAACACATTTTCATCTACCGGTCCTAATAAAATCGTCAAAAAAACATGTTAGTAGAAAGAAATTGTTTTTTAAGAATTTCGAAAAACACAATTATAGAAAGAAAATATAAGCACTGAAAAGATCGCTGTTAGCAATCTCGAGCTCCTTCATCTGCCTCTTGATTATGTTCAAAGTAGACATTTTTAGGGAAGTTTAGAGATTTCGAAGAATACAAAGATGAAAGTTTTTTTTTTCTCTGTGTGGAAGTTGATTCTTACGAAGGAGGATGGGTCTCCTTTTATAGAGCAGGAGGAGTCTGTTTTCAGATAAGAGGAATGGTTTGGTCAGAGAAGATTAGAACAGTTGAGTTTTTTCGACGGATTGGTCAAAAGGTAATTAATAAATTAGGAAGACTTTAATTTTGTTTGGGAACAATTTCCTAGATATATACATTCATATACATAATTAGGGCCCAAATATCTTCTCTTTTTGGGCCTCTTTCATAGTGGAAGCTTTTTTTGCGTAACCTTTTATTTGGTGCCTGAAGTATGTCTTCTCTGTTTACAAGAAAGGTAAGTAATTTATTAGGAAGACTTTAATTTATTTTGGGAACAATTTCCTAAATATATACATTCATTAAACATATATATATACATATGATAATGAGGGCCCAAATCTCTTTTGTCTCTGTTTGGGCCTCTTTGGTAGTGAAAGCCTTTTTGTGAAACCTTTTATTTTTGGTTCCAGAAGTGTATTTTATCTGTTTGATAAGGTTTTAGGAATACATTCCGAAATGTTTCTTTTTGATTGGATAAATTTTAATGGCAAAAAGTGAAGAAAAATGGTCTTTCTCTATCTGATTGATTGATGTAGTCAGCTTTATCAGAAAATTAAGATTTTGCAAAGATACTGACGTTTTTTATTTTACGAAGCTTTTCAAACAATTAAAGAAATAATATCCTGATTTTAGGGAGGGTTTCCTAAGTGATGAACAGATTCATATAGAAACAAGACAGTCTTTTTCATAACGAACACGTTTTATTACAAGAAGATAATAGTGATTGTAGGATAGACTTCCTAAGTGTTGGACACATTCGTATACAAACAAAACAAACTCATATCATTTACGAACAAGTTTTATAACCACATTTTCAATACTGGTTTTTATACAAAATAGATCTATGTAACTAACTTGAGAAAACTACTAAAAAAAAACAAGACACTAAAATCTCTTTCCATGATATCTTCTCTGGTGCCGACTTCAAATGATCCAATCTCTTCTTTTCTTCGATCCTTAGATTAATCCCTTCAATTCCTCTTCATCTACTTTGCCTCTTCCATGTTCCACTCCTTGTCACCAGATCTGAACTTCGAATCTGTTCTTTCCAAAAAGCCAATTGATAAAAGTAACCAAACATAAAGTAATGCAGAGCAACAAAAACTAATTCAACTACCAAAACCAATTTCAGATCAACCAAAACCAATTCCAGAGTAACCAAAATATAGACTTAATAAAATAAATAAAAACAAGGACAAACATTGTTCACATAATAATAAAAGTAGACAGCATACGAGTTCAACATAGCACAGAAATAGTTTTACATAAACATTAAAACTTAATTAGAATTCGGATAACAACAGAACATAAGATAAAGATAGAGGGAATTTGTTTTCAAGCCCCAGCGTGCTCCAAAGTACATTCCCGAGCAGTTTCATCGAACCCCGCCTTGTCTTCCTTGTACAGCTTTGCTTTGTCTTCATCATAGTAGTCCCCCTCACCTATTTCTGGGTTTGTCAGCATCTCATGAAGTTTAATGAGAATCTGATTTTGAAGAATTTTTTTTTTAAAAAATTAGCATCTGATAATAACGATTCATATACCCATAAACCAATAACTAGAATATATTAAGTTATTACTCCATTGATGGTTTAAATGGGCGAGAAGTAGTCGTTAGTCAGCATCCTAAGGAAGATATGTCCACGATCTCCTACGTTGGGGTGAAATATTTTGGTTCTGAAGAAGACCTGCAGAAATCGGGTTGTTATGAATCTTTTCTGAGTTTTAGGAAGAGAAAATAATTATTTAGCAACCGATTACTAAAATATGAGAACCATTTAAAGCGTCATACCTTGGGTGGCTTGAATGGGTATTCTGGAGGAAAGTGCATGCCGATTTTGAAGACTCCGTTCTCGTAAGGCGATCCTGCTGGTCCGAAAAGCACAGCCTCCCAATGAAACATATTTCCATCAACGGGGCCTAATCAAATGTGTAAAACAAAAAAAATTAGTACTTTATTCAAAACTCGGAAACAACATAATTAAGCGTAATACAGAAACGAAATACATGTACTGTAGAGCAGGCTCTTAACCCTCTCAATTCCTTTCTTCTGCATCGTGATGGCTCTCAAAGCAGTCATTTTCAGTAAGTAAAAGATTAAAGCTTTTTTTTCTGTATGGGAAGATGCTTTTTTTTTACTGAGGATAAGAGTGCTTTTATAGAGAAGGAGAGGGAGTCGGTTTTCAGAGAGGAGGTCAAAAGGTGTCTCGTAAATCGGAAATTACAACAGATGCCTTTTTCCAAAAAGGTAATTAATTCATTTTTGACTGCACCGTTTCTCTGTGTAGCCGTGTCTTAGTCTTGTCGTTCCAGAAAAATGATCATTTTTTATTGTTTTGGTTAGTTTCTCGAGCATTTTAGTAAATCTTTATTCATTTTTATGAAGGGTTTTCCTAATTTTTGAAAATTTTTTGATCGGTTTTCTTGATCATTTTGGTAAGCATAAATTCATTTTTAGGAATGGTCTACTAACGTTTTTAGTTCAATTATAAAGGATTAGTAAGTTTTCCAAAAAACTTTACTAAGCCCATTTTATAAAGTGTATGATTTACTAAATTTTTAGGAATGATTTTACTAAATTTTGCAAATGAATTATAAACTTTAGGTTTTAAAGATTATTGAGTAAATAGACAATAATAGATCTAAGAATACCTGAGCAACGTCATACTTATATGATGTGCTTTCCACTCCTTCGGCAACCTGGAGTAAGCCATATCTCAAAACAATCGAACCAGAGACACAAAAGCAAAAACAATTCATGTTAGAAAGCCCTTCCTAAACAAGGTCTGAACACTCCTAAAACATAAGTTAGATCCAAAAACACAAGACAGTTGCAGAAGATTAAGTTCTAGCCAATCCTAAAACCATGCCAATTGCAGAGGAATAAGGCTAATCCCGAAGGTGTTCCATAAGAAATCCTAAAAGGCTGAATCCTAAATCGAAAATCTTAACACAATTCCGGAAGATATTTCTAAATCTGAACAAACACATCCTGAAAGGCTTCCTCAAAGCTCTGTAGGACGGAACTCCTCAAATAGCTCGCATGCAAGCTTTGTTCTGATGCCATGTGCATTGCCATCCTCAATCTTCGACATGTCTCGAATGCCCATAGAATGGCATTCGAGAATCTTCAAGATAAATAGAGCTGAGTTCGCTGGAAGGTTGGTCTTTGGGATGTTTTTACCGGACAATTCCTCAACTATGTAAGGAATCATGTCCTCATCCTTCACTGTTCTCTTTGTAGCAGCACACATTAGAACCAGAATCATCTCTGCACCAAAAATATACCATTTTGTATAAAAAATAAAAGAAACAAATGAAAACAATGTTTATATAAAGTAGAGGGAGTTCTTATACCTGGAAATTCATGCATGTGGTTCATTAAAAGGTCGACCTTGTCAAAAGGCAGTCCAGACCTTACAACTGTGATATGCTTCTTCCTGAAGTCTATCACCATCCCAATCCAGCTTGCGCTCTTGAAAGTGAGGCCATAAACTACATCCACATCCTCCCCCCATATCTTCCTGGATCTATTTTCCCGGTAGGAACCAACAACACATCATCCGAGAACCATTGATGACCTCTTCTAGGGTTTTAAACCTGGAGTAGCATGAGGAGAGCTGTCCAAAGTACTGAGGTTTGACGAATGTAGCTAATGGGAGATAATTGTTGTGGAAGTATGCTACATGGGTGTCCCTTCTCCTTGCTAACATAAAGATCGTGGCAGAAATGTGCTGCAAAAGAAAACATGTTTAGGAACCTATTCTCAAAACAGTTGCAACTATACATTAAATTTCATAAACAAGTTTCTAAAGAGGTTAGAATGCTTTCTTAAAGGCAGAAATACCTCATAAGTCAGACACTTCTCCGGTTCTTCTAACTTATTGAACCAGGCAGCCTTAATAGGAATGTCATTAATATGAAATCTTCAATAGTCAAAATACAAAAATAGTTAGCAACAAACAATACGAATAGTTACCAACCAACAATACGTGATAACAAAGATTATAAAACAAAATGAACTTACCCTTCTGCGGTATTCTTCCAATCGTCCAAGGTTGTTAGTCTCCTAATATGTGGTGTCAGGAATGGATCAATAACCACATTGACCTCAGACATTACAGTTAAGGCTGGGTTTTTTGGCCCCCCGGAAAGGAGTTTTATTTGACGTTGATTCTTTGGGTTGGCGTTTGGTCCTTTTCAAGAACACCTTTCCTTGCTTAGCTTCTTGAACACTAGCAGCTTTCGTTTGGTCTTTTTTAGATCTTTTGTTAGCTTTTTCGACAGCTTCATCAACTACTTTCCTTTTCCGAGGAGAAACGATGGCAGAATCCGTCTTGCTTGATCCAGGCAGCTTGTTGATCTGCAATTATAATTATTATTAGATTGAAAATATTCTAGGAATGAATTCCCGAATTTCGTTACAATCTTCTTAAATCTAAACTTGTACGAATCTACATGCTAAAGCTTTTTGGAAAGCATTACCTTTTCTCTCGAAATCCATTCGCCATTCGCCCACTCCAGACCAGGTCGAATGTATTCACCAGAAATCAATTGAGCTTCATCAAACTCAGGTATTTTGACCCCGTACATGTTGTTTTGCTTGACAACAACCACTTTTGCTGCCCACCATCGATCCTTGATAAACACATCCACTTCACGTAGCAGATTAATCCCATCTTGACTATCACTGGGTGACGGATGTTTAGGACGTACTGCCTGTTTGTTGACACTCTTCCTCAGCTTTCTTTCTTTATCCACGAAAATCTTGGAGTATTCAACTATTAAGACATCTTCATTTATGTCGATCACTGTTCCTTTAAACCATCCACCCTCTCCACATTTTATCTCCACGTTAGCGCCTATATGAATAGGACGAAGCTCATCATCTGTTCTATCCTGCAATAACCAAAACAATAGTTCATAAGGAGAGTCAGATACCAAAATAACCATTAACATACGTGTAGAAACAAATATCTATATTCATCATTAAAAAACGAAACAAAAAACCATCTGAGGTGAGTTTTACCCATTCCTTATGAACCCTTATGTCCTCAATTTTGAATTCGTGTATTTCTTGTGTTTTATGTATGATGACAGAGGCTTTTTTTTCCCTAAAATTTAGTAAAGTCACAGCGCCTCTTCTCGTGTTCCCTCTGAGAAAGACATCTACCTCTTGGTTTTCAGTTAAATCTTCCAAACACAATACACTATTCCTTGGGCTACCATTGGGGTAAGTTGAACTGTTTCCCAAGAAGATGAAATCTGGCTAAAAAAGTCTGAACTAGCCTGCAAACTAAAGAAACTAAACTCCTAAACCCTATCCCCTTACATTTTTTACGAAATTCCTCACTCATGATTAGAAAGACGTTCCAGGAATGTTTTTCATACCTGGTCTTTGTTGAGACTAGGACCTACGCAGGAAGTGGACGGTATCTGTATGTCTTTTTCTTGTAATATCTGCAAATATAAAGAGTTTTAAGAACTTATTTTATACAGTTTATGAAAGACAAAGTATCAATCAGAAATGGAGAACAAAATCCGAAACCTGAGGATCTTGATCTTTGTTCAGAACTGGATACGTGGAAGAAGCAAACTGAATCTAACTGTTGATGACTTTTTCAATGTCCATATCATTAATCTGAATATGCGATAAAGTTTTTAATATGGATTTATAATAAATTCGGGATGCTATCCTGGGATTTTAGGAAGATTTTACTAAAATTACAAAGAGTTTAAAGGGAGACGAGGAGGTCAAAACATTACCACATCATTCTTGCCGAATGCAGAGATGTCATCATCACCAACATTTTTTTCTTGTTCCACAGCAATACCAGCATCAACGACAGGCTCAGTTACTGAATCCAAAGACGATTTGTTTTGATCATTGTCCAAAAGTGGTTCTGTGCATGTAGTAGATGGGTTTGGAGTCTCGACGGCAGACTGGGTTTGAGTTTCGCTGATTTTTTGTGTTGCAGTCTCGCTGGTATTTTGTGTTGTAGTCTTGCTGGCCCTTTGTGTTGGAGTCTCCATGACATTTTCCATCTGCAAATATTAATCTATTTTTCAGGAAACGTTTCATACTGTTTGTAGAAGAAAGAAATCACATCATCATCATCATCATCATCATCATCATCATCAACATCATATACATATTGTGTAAGTCACACATCTTACCTCGTCATCAGAACCGTAGCATTGGGTTTCATACTGTGTCTGGGATTCGTCAATGGCTTGTGTGCTCTGCTGCAAAAATTTTTAAATAATTTAGGAAAGCTTTCATAAATAAGAAGAATGCACTCCTATATTAGTGATAATGACTTCCTAAATTAGGGGGGAAAGCATATAGCGTACCTCTTCAAGTTCTTGAGTGGTCGGATTGGGGAGTTGTACATTATCATCGCGCACCTGTACCTGTTCGAATTATTAAATAATTTAGGAATGGTTTCCCAAATTTGTGTCTAAATTAGGGAGAAGGCATATAGCTTACCTATTCAGGATCTTGAGGTGTTTGACTGGGGAAACGTTGTTCTTGAGGGGTTTGACTGGGGATAAGTTGTTCTTGAGGGGTTTGACTGGGGATAAGTTGTTCTTGAGGGGTTTGACTTGGGAGCTAAACATCACCACCATGGACCTGCAAACATTTTCAAATAATATTTCAACATTACTAGGAAAGCTATAGACTGTTTTTAAGAAAGATTTTCCGAATCAGAATAATGCATTAACTCTTCAGTGCAAAATTCATCATCACGCAAGTGCAAAATGCTTAAAATATCACTATCAATCTCTCCTAAAATATAAGTATACCTTCATAACTTAAGGATAGTAATGCCTTCATAACTTAAGGATAGTAATGCCTTCCTAATTTAGGGAGCAGGCATATAGCTTACCTCTTCGGGATCTTCAAGAGTTGGAATGGGGATACGTTGCTCTAGGGGGGTTTGAATTGGGGGCGGAACATCATCACAACGCAACTGCAAACAATTTCAAATACCATTTAAACAATTTAAGGAAGGTTCTAGATTTTTTTAGGAACAATTTTCTGAATTATAAGAACGCATTACCTCTTCATTGGAACGG